AAGAATGGGAAAACGTATGACAAGAATGGGAAAACGTATGACAAGAAATGGGAAAACGTATGACAGTACCTGGCGGTGAAATAAATAAATAAAAAAATAAATAATTATTAAATTAATTACGAATAATATATATATTTCAAATCTAATGTTGAAGGCAGTTGATACAAATTCTTTTTAACTACATTTGCTTTTTTTAATCGATGAATTATAGATAACAGCCTTTAATTCTCCGCTCCCTCTCCGAATAAGCAACCGACAATAAAAAAGAAAAGAGTCAGTAGGGATAAGAGCGATAAAAAGCATGTTTTATACGTGAAAAAAAACGTTTGATATCAATTCTTGATATCTATGAGATTAAGAGCCGCATATGTATTTCGGCCGACTGAAATTTTGATAAATTAGAGTATGTTTCACTCGTAAGTTTTTGAGATTTTCATTTTAATTACGAAAAAAGTCGATTTGATGTCTTCGTAAAAATTGTTGCCCACCAATTGAAAACATTCTCTCCTTTTTTCAATACAAAGTCTATGAAAAATACTCAATCTTATAATAATATTAATATTTAGAGAAAGAGATAAAGAGAAAATTTTCTGTTGAGACCACTAAAAATACCGTTTTTTAATTCTTTTATCAATTGTCATACGTTTTCCCATTTTCTGTCATACGTTTTCCCATTTTCTGTCATACGTTTCCCCATTTCTGTCATACGTTATCCCCTCACCCATATTTTTTCTTCTCATTTGGGAAAATATCAATGGAATAAGAGAGATATCAGTGTAATGCAAGCAGATTTTTATGTTTTTATGTGAAAGAACTACTATTCGAAACAGTCAATAACAGTATACCCAACGTGTAAGCGTCTGAATATTATTGGTATACAACGGTTGTATTACATGTTCTTGCACCAGTTGGCGCTTCTGGGTTCATTTATATGAGAACTGTCAAGAAGGCGCAGTGTCGTATGAAAGGCCATTTGTTCGCGGATGATTGTCAAGCACATATCGAAGTAGATTTTGATAAAATTAGGGACGGCATCGATAAAATAAACCTCGCCTAGTTGAATGATTTTCTTAAACGTCGCGGTATGATTATAAATAGTTTAAAGTCAAAAGTAATGATTATTGGTACAGCTGTCAAAAATCGGTATTTTATTAATATGTTAATAAACAACATATTTTAATAATTAATAAAAATTTTGAAACACTATATTTATTAACGTTAATAAATATAGTGCATTTTATTAACATATTAATAATTATTAGTATGGTGAATTTTCGGTTATTAATATGGTGTATATTTTATTAAAATGTTAATAACGATATTTTATTAGAATTTTAATAAAATCGACAATTTTTTTATTAGAATTTTAATAAAATGTGGTTATTAATATGGTGCCGATTTTATTAGAATTCTAATAAATTCCGCAACATATTGGATTTCATCCGATTTTATCAACGGACGACATCATGTTCACATCAAAGTCTATTCAACACAGCGTTTAGATTAAGACAATCATTCATCACGACAAAATCTCAAAGAAAAACGAGTCTGGAGATATTCGACATGTTTTTTGTAAAAAACTTTTCAAAAAAATTGCGAAGAAAAGTTTCATATAAAATTCATGTCAGTTTTTGCCAGACAACAACTAATTGTTTTCAATGTTAGTACTGATACTGTTAAACAGAGGGTAACTGAATTTTTTAAAAGAAGTAGAGTGTGGAGAAAATAAAAGAAATATTGTTAATATATTAATATGATATTTATAACAAATAAACCACCTTTGGCGAGGAGACGCTGTATGGTGAAGAATAATAATAATAATAACAAAATCTCGATGAAAAATGAGTCTGGAAATATTTGACAGTTTTTTCGTATGAAACTTTTCAAAAAAAATCCGAAGAAAAGTTTCATACAAAAAACATGTCAAATATTTCCAGACTCATTTTGCATCGAGATTTTGTCGTCTGGAAAAAACGGACATGAATTTTGTATGAAAATTGAACAATGTCACATAGAATATATCGAAAATCGAATCGATTTTGTGCGATTTTGACTTGGAGTTTTCACATTTCACGAAATTTTGAATGAATCTATTGTTTCGCAAAGTCACATTGGGATTTTGCTGAATATCACAATCGAAAATAGAACAATGGAATTCATTCATAAAATTTTCACATTTCACATAAAAATTTGTGAATATTCTTGGACGTTGTTTAGAATCCCGCCACAGAGCTCAAGATAGGGGTTTCACGCAAACTCGAAGGCCGAAGATTTTACTAAATAGCTGGAAATATAACCATTTTATGTGTAAACTATAGATATTGCAACTTTTACTTTTCCGTACACACCGTGCCAAAGGAAAGTATAGGAATTGCCCCGAAAACTTTTTTCGCAAAATTAGTTTGGATCATCATAAAAACTCATGAAACGCGTAGAAAACCACTTTTTGAAACACTTTTCAGTTCGTGTGCCGTCGTTGTCGTCGTCGTCGGTGTTTGTTAACACGATAACTCAAAAAATAATTGAGAAAATCTGGAAATGCCAAAAGTTTTGTATTCGGAAAACTTAGTTTAAGTTCGAAGATGAGCCATTTTCGATTTGACCCTGGGGTACTTGCCCTAAGAAAAACCTCAAAAAATTGACACTTTTGTATGGGAGGTACCTGTGAAGATAAGTATCACAACTTGGAATCATAGTAATATTACATTCATTAGGCAGATTAGGCGGTTTGACAGGAACAAAGTATTTATAAAATTCATTGTATGTACTCAGCATATAATTGATGGGTTCAAACTTGGAATAGTTATGTGATGAATCGGTAATGCCAAGAAATCTGAGTCTCTTGTCCAATGTCGCGGTGTTTTAAAACTTATTTTGCTCAATATGTATTTCGATGAAGTATTTCCACATATCACATTGTGGACAAGTGATATTTGTGCTATCTTTCTCCGCTCTTCCAGCGTAATCATTTGTAATTCAAGCAGTCGGCATTCGTATGGTGGTTTCCTGAATCTGTGTGGCCATTTCATTTTGCGTAGTGCGAACAACAAAAATTGCTTCTGGATTGATTCATTTCGTGCAATCTTCTCAGCGGTGTACGGATTCCAAATTTGGGATGCGTATTCCACAATCGGCAATACAAAAGTGGAAAATAATTTCTTTATGGTCCACGGATCATCGAATTCGTATCCAAATCATTTAATCCATGCTAGACGTGACTTCGCTTTGGCTGTAATATACTCGATGTGTGCATTAAAATTCAAATTGTGGTCAAGTATTACTCCTAGATCCTTTATCACGTTAACTCGATCGATTTTTTCGTTGCCAATGGAATATTCGAAGTCAAATTTCAGGATGCCGCGATGAAATGATACAAATTTGGTCTTAGATACATTTAGCTTTAGCTTGTTCCGGTTGAAGTATTCGACAAGCCTATTCAGGTCAGCTTGTAATTCCAGACAATCATCGTAATGTCTGATGTGTTTCCACGGGCGAGTGTCATCAGCGAACGACTGAAGGATTGAGTTGCTAACGTGTTTTGGCAAATCAATGATGAACAACAGAAACAATGTTGCACCAATTGGGTATCCTTGTCCAGTTCCCGAAGTGACTTCAATGGGGCTTGACATGTCATTATTCAATTTGACAATCTGTTGGCGACCATGCAAATACGACTTAATCCACTTGAGTAATTGCTGATTCAATCCCATAATATCCAATTTGCGAATTAGTAAATCAACATTTCCCTTATAAGCAGTTATTTTAGTGATTATAAATATGAAGTAAGTCTGTCAGTTTATTTTACTGGATAAACTACTCCTCGGAACAAACCGAAATAAATGATGACCGGCTGTTCTTATTATATCATACGATAGTAAACAGAAAACGTTAGCATTCTATATACAATTTTGTATATGCAAATTCTCTGATGGAACAAATCGGTTTCGATTTGTTAATGATTGATGATTGATGATTGACGCAGACAATATGGAACAGATTACTCTTGAATTAATTTTTAACTTCATGGTAAACGTCGAAAATCTCAAGCTGATCTGCTAATATAGTTATTCAACGAAATGGAAAAGACTTTCATTACGTTTTTTCATTAAAAATGAAGAAAATTTCTCATTGTCTTGAATGAAATGATTCGGAAACCCCGGAAATTAGAAATTTTCCATACAAATTTTCAAACCTGAAATTCATTTCTAATTTCTGAGGTTTTCTTATTCTCGGGTTTCTAATTTGCGGGGGCGCACTGTAGCTACATTGACTGTGATATAGCCATCCTTTGAGTTGGTGATTGTTCTGACCTATTATTTGTATGTAATGGAAACTAGTTTAGTCTAGTCAATGTTCAGTCCAAAATCACTTCAACCATAACTGTTTACCCTTATTGTATGAACACAAAAGATCAGGTGTTTCATGATGACTCTTGGAGTCATTTTCCTGCAAAACTGATTATTCAGCCAGCTTTTGGCGGTGTAAATAAATAAATAAATACATTTTTCGACGTTTTGGATGCATCAGACAAGATTGTGATAGCTCTAGATCGAATTCTCGTCAAAAATTAGGCGGATATAGATCCATAACAGGCCATTGTAAGTGTGTTTCCTATGTCAGAAATGTGATTTTGTATGAACCTTTCAATCGTTCGATTTTTTCGAAAGAAATGTCTGTTTCGGATCTCCAGAGGCAGACCCTGAGAAAATATTTTGGCTTTCAGAGTTTTTGCCCAAACCCTACTTCCATGCAAAGTTTCAGCCAATTCTGAAAACCCTTTGTGAATTTTGGCTGATTTCATGTGGAATGGTCGTGGTGAGCACTGAGCAGTGTTATTATATCTTAACGTTGATTTTGAAAACATTAAATTCACTTTCAGGTAGTTGATGAACTTTGCACATTGGGTGTTTCGTTCAGTTCTCCAAATAGCAAAGGCGACTCACCACTTTGGTCGGCGCTTGAATCTGAACAGGATGAGATAGCTTCTGTTTTGGTCAGACATGGAGTTGACATCGATTGCTGGAGCTCAACTGGTCCCGAAGGCTGTTTACAGACTCTTTTACATCGTGCAATCGATGAGAACCGTGAATCAGCAGCAATGTTTCTTATTCGAAGCCGCTGTGACTTGGATTCACCAAGACAAACAGGCCTTAATGGGGAAGGTGATAATAAAATTCTGGACAAAGCATCTCCTTTACACTTATGTTGTCAATGGGGCCTAGTCCAAGTTTTAAAAACACTGATTGATCATGGTGCGAACGTGAATGCAGTTGATTCATTGAATAGAACTCCTTTACATACTGCTATCGAGAACCAACACGAAGAAATTATCATGATTTTATTGTGTCATCCAAGTATTAACTTGAAAATACGAGACAAGGCAGGAAATACATGCTTTGCCGCAGCATTGACATTTCGAAATCATAAAGCAGCACAAGCCATCCTCGAACGTTTACCGACTGCGGCTGAACAAATGGATCAGCGGGGACGAAATTTTCTGCACGTTGCTATCATGAAAGACGATTTAGAAAGCGTACTATTCCTATTGTCGATTCAAGTGGACGTAAACTCTCGAGTACATGACGTAAATCAAACAGGTGCCTAGAAAATTTTCAATTAGCATTTATCCAGTCAAAAGAAGAAAAACAAAGACTTAAAACTTACTAATAAAGGTCCCTCGTTTTCAACAATTTTTGTTGAAATTCCGGTTTGGTTAGTCAATTGGGGTCAAATAATTGGGGAGGACGCGACTATGCGACTATTCGACGCAATTTTGCTAAATGAAAACGATTGTGTCATGCAATCCGACTCATTATATTTGGTTAAATACAATTTCGTCTGGAAAAATGACAAAATCGTCTAAATTGAAAACAATTTCGTCTAGTGAAAAATTGTTTTTTTTTTCAAGTTCGTCTAAATTTTCCCCGAAAATATGACAAATTGATTTAAAATTCTGACAATTTTTTTTCGTGACAAAATCGTTATGAAAATCAACAAGATCATCTGAATTCACAATTTCCGAGAAAAATGACAGAATCGTCTATCAGATGAAAAACCTCTAGACGAGGTTGAAATGGAGTGATGCTCCGTGTGTGGATTTACCACTCAAAATGACTGATATCATTTTGAATGACGCTGAGACGCTGTATTACTGGGAACGAAGCTCAAAAGTGTTTCAAACGCACGGAGCGTCACTCCATTTCAACCTCGTCTAGAGGTTTTTCATCTGATATCACTACTTTTGTAAGGCTTTTTTTTTCGAAAAATAGATTTTTACCAGAAGTATGTCTATTTTAAGGTCTTATTATCAGGAAATTGCAATTTTCTGGGTAACACATTGGCATTCTAATTTCACAAGTTCTGGAGATTGCACTATCTAATTTCCACTACCATTGAAAAAGTCCCAATTTCTTTTAATTGCACATTATAAAATGCGGTAATATATGATTAAATTTCAAAATAACCATAGAAAGAGTGTTGAAACGATTGTGGATTCTCATTATTTCATTAAAAAATATTAGTTCCCAACCACCAAAGTTCTGAAAAGTGCATTTTTTATGTATCCCCGAGCAAAAGTTCAATTTCAAACATTCAGATGCAAAAAATGCTGATTTATGACCAAAATGACAACGAAGTGGGTATTTTGGTGTTGATAGACTCCAATTATTTTTACGAAAAAATAGCAGTTTTCCAAGACCAAAATGACATCAGAGGTGTATTTCACGTGTTTTCCGAACAAAAATGTCATTTTCAGTGAAAATAAAGCAAGTTGAAAAATTCACTTCAATCCGATCTATTTTTCGACCATGAAATGCCCTCAGATCGCATTGTGACCACTTTTAATCGATTGCTCGTCGAAAATTGAGCGGATATGGTCTTTCGTGAGCCTTTTTCAGCCAGTAAATGCGTATTTTTGGCAGCAATTTCATCGTAGAATGCGACTCTTCGTACAAATTCCGTTCATTGATGAATTGCCTAAAGCTGTCAACGGACAAGAAGTTGTCCGTCCGTCCGTCCGAAAAAAATGAAAAAA